CATTGCAAATACTTAATTATTTTTTGTTAGTTCTACACCTCTCTTTATCCGCTCTCCAAGCCTCCAAGGGCGGACTCCTGAGGTCCGTAATGCCCCCCTAACATGACACTTAGACTATTTACATCATCTAGGGAAGCACACCAGTAAATGTAGCCTCATGTAACTTCATATAGGGATTCTTTAATAGTTGTGTGAAGTAGTTAAACAATAAGGGGGTAATAAGATCTTTAAATTATAATTTTCCTCTCAAAGAGACTTCGTTGTACACACACACACACACAAACAAAACAACATTAAATAATGACATGATATTATAGTGATAACACATAATGTGTAGAAAGAGATGTCCTGTATGGGTTGATTGCGCGTTGATCTGTTGGTAAAATGCTCATCTATCATTTTCAACCAAGCAGTATGAGGTCAAATTTAATAAGTAATAGTTTGTCACGATTTTACGGGAAAAAGTCAGAGCGCAATGTCACATCTTAAAGACAGCTTGAACTGGATAGATGGTTAGTCTTTTTTCAAAACATACCATATGTTCTGCATGTTAGTATATTTGGCCAAATCGGGTTAGGCCCTACTGCCCCACTCCCCCAATAGGGAAGTCACGCTTTGAGAAGAGGTGTTTAATTTCACAGATCTGACTTGATGTGATGGCTGAAGTAATAGGGACGGGGGAGGAAAATTCAGGGGTGAAGAAGCAGAAAGATAACTTGTTTGTAAAACGGACAGCACTTCAGTTTCAGGAAAGATGACACATATAACTTCATATAGGGATTATTTTATTAGTGGATTTGATGTAATTAAACATAAAGAAAAAAAACAAACGCCATGGGGTCATTAAGATCTTTAATTTATTGCCAACCTCTTCAGAGAGACTTTGTTGCATTTATTACCAGATTACCCCTCCTTTCAACAAAGAGAGGCCCTTATAGTTAGTATAGTAATTAAACATTAGTTCATCATCCGTACACTTCAAGAGAGCCTCCTTAGTTATTAACCCAACTCTTATTTAAAAAAAAAAAAAGGCGGGGTAGGAGGGGAATACGGGTATGTGTGTGTGTGTGTGTGTGTGTGTGTGTGTGTGTGTGTGTGTGTGTGTGTGTGTGTGTGTGTGTGTGTGTGTGTGTGTGTGTGTGTGTGTGTGTGTGTGTGTGTGTGTGTGTGTGTGTGTGTGTGTGTGTGTGTGTGTGGATGGATGGAAATCTCTCAGAATGATATCCCCTTTAGCGCAATACAGCATCAGCTACACCACTTATGTGACATACAAGAATAGTGTGTGACAGACAAAAGATGTCCTATAGGGGCTGATTATGCATGGACATAAACGCTAGTAACGTCTAATCTGACGGAGGGAGACCCCGGTGCTGCGGACTATTCGACATGCATCTCTGCATGCGGTGAGCGGAACAAAACACACTCGTAGATAACACACGTAGCTATTTTAATTACCTCTCAAACTACCTAAACTAGTTAAAGTTTGTTTTAGTTTTACTGTCGAGTCACTCATTATTGGACCCGCGAGCTGCATGATACTGGCGTGTTGTCAGGAGGGGGGAGAGCAGTCCGTTTATTATTCCCGTGTTATTGTAAATTACTGTACACGTTTTGAATAGTTAATTAATCTACTATAACTAGTTGGTTTAATATCGAATCATATCAGTTTGTTTCAAAGCTCATTAAATAACATAGAAGACCTTTAGCCGGCACTTTTCTAATTTTGCCACGGAAGATTTAAACTGTAACGAACATGCCGACCGGACAGGAGGGGGGAGGAGGAGGAGGGGGTTGAGGGGGGGTGGGGGCTGAGGAGGGGATGGGGGGCTACCTGAGAGGATGTAGCACCTGTATGTGAGGGGGAGGGGGGTGGGCTGAGGGGGGTGGGGGGGTACCGGGGAGGATGTCACACCTGTACGCGATAACACCTCGAACAAAGGGCTCATCTGTAAGGAATGCGTGGAAGGGTAGGACCCAAATGCAGACTATCAGAAAAGGTAAACGGTCTCGAAACAAAAAACAAGCTTTATTCTCAAAGCTTAACAATAGCATGGCATGAAACACATAGGTTCTACAGAAAACTGACCGTGACCAACATGGTGGGAGACAGGAGAAACAAACATGACTGACATGGAGGAAGACAGGAAAAACCAACAATGAACCGACAGGGGAACACAGGAAGAGACAAGACTAAATACAGAGAGGGGTAATCACAAGACGAGACACAGCTGGGGTAAGGGAGGCAGAAACACAAGGGCAACAGGTGAACACAATCAAACAATCAGACACACCAGGGAAACTAAGACAGGAAGGCAAACACAGGAAGAAGGAACAGAGAAGACACAAGGAGGAAAACATTTCAAAACAAAACAGGAAACCAGAAAAAGACAAGACAAAACACAACACAGACAGATCGTGACATCATTAGCATATCAAAGGGGGGTCATTAACATAATTAGGGGGCGGGACTTAGAAGGTGTGACCTGTCACTTTTTTATGCATACTAATGAGATTGAAGCGGGATATGTAATACTACTGATGATAATGTGTGTTGTGTCATACAGTTACTCATCCCCAACTGCAGGTCACAGTAAGATCTTCTATTCACTACTGGATATAACATGCAATAACAAGCAGTTAACTCTGGGGTTTGATTTTTGGAGTGGAATCACAATTGACACAAGCTACAGCATCAGGAACAGGCTGTCATAACATGAAGTAACTTGTAGCGTGGTTTAGAGAGTATAATGCTGCTAACATCACGTCTTTGATTTGTAATTTTCTTAATAAGTTGTATGTTGCAATTGCAAGTCGGGTACAAGGATAGCATTTAATAGATTTTCTTTGTTGCATAATTCAAGTCATACTTTCATGTATGGCTAGCCAGTCCCTGTGACAGTATTCAGACGACCGTGATCTCTGACCTCTGACCTCCCCTGAGAGTAGAGAGGATCAATATAGTGTCACCATTACTCTCATTTACATATCTATTCCACAAGCGTCACTAAGCGTGACAGTGGGGATCACTCATACGCTTAAATGCAGGAGCAGGTTATTTCCAAAAGTAAGGCATTAGCAGAGTTTCATGACATAGAAGGACATTGTGAGATTAAAGGAAGAGCAAGGAGGATGTCCATATATGAAGAAAAAAAAAGGTGTATACAGTATGGGGCGATCAATTCATGGATAGCAGACAATAAAAGAAGGTAAATTACATGAGTGGTGATGAAGAGAACCGCATAACACAAGGTTCTCTCTGACAGTATGCTGATCTGAGCACAAATCTCTTTTAAATCTTTAGCCTTCATAATTTTGTCTAATGGCTTTGTTTTGTACATAAGTAAATGTTGGAGAAAAAAATCAATGTTCCTTCCACTGTTTTAGCATTGCCCTAGAATTGCGGTTTATGTATGAAGCATTGTGTCTTTTTTCCTGCAGGGTGATGTGGTTCTGAGAAAAGTTTTAGCCCAATGTCTCATGATGGACAAATGATTCCCTGTCTTGTGGGATACCTTGCAGGGTCACTTCAAATATCTCTGGCCTTAGAGAAGTTGAAGTCAGACTAATCCCTTAAGTCAGTAAATTCCTCCACATCAACAATTTGAAGCTAATGCTCTTATTTGATGTGCACTCTCTCCGACACCAGGCTCCTTTAAGCCATATAGCATCAGACTGCTGAATGTTGAGCATACATGCATCAGTTGCTATGAATAGTGTTGTTTGTGCTGTTTGTTCTCAGGGTATGTGAGGCTCTAAATATCAATTAGCAACAACATGTGCAAATTACAGCCCAGACTGACCTTATTAACATAAGCAACCCTTTGACATTGGCTTAAAAGTGTAGTTAAGTACTAGTTAAGATTTTAGTTGTTCTGCATTTGTACTTTTTACATTGCCATAGTAGCTTTTATGGAGGAAAAAGACAAAACAAATGTTGCATCACAATTAACTCTCTATGCAAAAGGGCTTCAAAACAAGTTTAACTAGGGAAGGTAAGCATGTCAGTGGTTGTATTGATTATGTACATGCAGGATCGACTGGGTCAAAGTAGTCCATCACTTCTCTCTTGAACCCAAGAATGCTTTAATTTTAGCATTGATAATAATGGTGGTGTTTTTTTTGCGGTTATTACAGAGATGGTAGAGCAGATGATGGCAATGATTGTTAGCTTGGCATTGTCAGTAATATTGCGAACAGGAAAAAGACTACAAGTCCATGAGATGTTGTAATGATCATTGCCCTTCTCGACGATATTGTTTTCCTCATTTCAGATATTAAATCACCTTTTTTAGAAGGGGGGAAAAAAAATACCGTAACCCTGTTTGTCTATCAGCTGATATGAAATACCTTCCTCATCCACACTCTGTTTCCTGACTCTGGGGAATTGCCAGAGAAAATTGGAGAAGCTGACCTATCGTTACGAGGCGTTTCAATGAGATTCTCCATGCTCGGAGCTCCTAATAATACATAATTATTTTCCTGTCCGATGTGGATGATTGCATCCTGACCACATGCTCCGAGCGAGTAATATCAATACTGAACTGAGTGGTAAATCCTTGATGATCCTCATGCTGGTGGGTTTAATATCACACAAAGAGACACAAAGTATCGCTCTGATTTTGGACCAATGTAACATGTTCAAATTGCACTTTGGTGCAACTTGAACATGTTACATTGGATTTGTAACTCCATTGTTACAACAAATTCATTGTTACATTGGATTTGTAACATTGGATTTGTTACATCATATAAGTGTGGCATGAAAATAGAGGGATGTTATTACATCTTGAGCCAGATTTAGAGCCCCGACTGTTTCCTGTGAAATGCACCTGATGCCTATAATAAGTGTTTCTCTGTCAACGCCAACCAAATCAATTGAAATGTCTTGGGTTATCAAAACATAACTTTTTTTAGGATTAAAACCACTCAAAATTCTCAAACAATTAAGACCATAATAACATGACTGTAGGCAGAGGACAGGTTATTTCCTCTTCTCTCACCTGCGGGCCTTGCCTCTGACTGACATCCTCACCTTCATGCTATTAATACCCTCAGGGATTGTTTTACCTGTGCTGTATCAGGGCTGCAGATTAGCTGAATCAGTGATGCTGATCTCACTCTCTCGCTGGCCTGCCAGCTGACTTTGACGTTTTTGACAGGCTTATCAACATCCATCATCATTTACCCAGAGGCAAAGCCCTTATATACCCGAGGGTTATAAGCAGGTTTGCTGAATGGGGAGGAAGCTGGCTGTGTTCTTGTGGTTGAAGCTCACCAGCATATCGTTGTGTTGGGCTGCTTATCTACACTTCCTGTGATTCAGGTCTTCTGAATTTATTGCGGAGTAGTTCAATATTATCTGTCCTTTTTTGCTCTAGTTTTGGTCTCCACAAAATCCTGTGGGGAATAGCTGCTTCTTTAATTGCTAAATGCTCCACCCTGTTCACCACCAGGTTCTAACTTTGTTTTTCTACTGTTTGGTCCTGGGCAGGTAGCATACAGCCTGTTTATTAAAGTTTGTACGCTTATTGCTGCAGCTAGAAACTAGTTGTTCACTCAAAAATCTAATTAATGAGTTGAACTTTGCTAAAACAATCTGTAGACCTGATAAGGAGAACTTCAGTGTCTTTTGAAACATTATTCTGCTAGTCCAAACAAACAACCCCTTTCACATCTCTTCCATTGGTTAAAGCATACTGTGCTGCAAAGGGAGTATTGGTGCATTAGGGAAGGCTTAGTTATTATGATCTGTTTTCAGAATTAACAACTTAACTCATCATTCTTTAGAAGTGGTGGTACAGTACACAGTCTGATGTGAAATTTACTTTGTGTCTTTTGTTTTAATGACAAACAGCTATTTCTAGTTAGGTCTTCATTCATTTTTCTTCATGAAAAGTCGTTAAATTGTATCAGAGAAATGTGGAACATACATTTAACTTGCTGGATGGGATCGAGGCTTCATTTAGGAGGGTCGAAATATTGGTAGAGATTCCTCGTTCTCCCCAGTATTTGAAGAAAGTAATAGAGTTAGAAGACAGAGGTGAGGTAGGGTGAAGGCAGAGGTATTGAGAGGAGAAAAGTAAACAGATGGAACAGAAAAGATTGAGGAGAGAGGTTATGAATACCAAGATGGGTGCAAAGTGAATCATATTTAATGAGAAAAGGAAAAACCTTTTTATTATCCTTGGACAATTTGCTTAATTTGATTCAAGCCAGAAAGAACAAAAAATGATCTCATGATACTTCTCTATGTTCATATCTGAACATTGGGAGGTGTTTCAAAGATAATTAATTAAATTACGTTTCAAGACAGTTTACCAAATAAGACTAACCCCTTAGAGTAATATGGAATGCCATTTAAGCCAAAATTAAATAAATACATAAATAATTAAATAAATACATATATATATAAATATGCCTATGAAATAAATTCTGAAATAAATAAATGAGGCAATAAATATGTATACATGTACATTTAAATACACATTTATTTATTTCATGGGACTTTTATTTCATAATGACACATTCATTTATTTCAAGAGACTTGTATTTCATAATGACACATTTATTTATTTCAGGGGACTTGTATTTCATAATGACACATTTATTTATTTCAGGGGACTTGTATTTCATAATGAGACATTTATTTATTTCAGGGGACTTGTATTTCATAATGACACATTTATTTATTTCAGGGGACTTGTATTTCATAATGACACATTTATTTATTTCAGGGGACTTGTATTTCATAATGACACATTTATTTATTTCAGGGGACTTGTATTTCATAATGACACATTTATTTATTTCAGGGGACTTGTATTTCATAATGACACATTTATTTATTTCATGGGACTTTTATTTCATAATGACACATTCATTTATTTCAAGAGACTTGTATTTCATAATGACACATTTATTTATTTCAGGGGACTTGTATTTCATAATGACACATTTCCATTTCTTATATGCAAATGAACGGGGCGTGGTTAGCTCACAGATCCAGACCAAAGCAACAGCACCGCAACACTGACTCAATAGCTCTTGTTTCACACTCAGCCTGATTTAGCTCTGGTTCTTCCTGTTTCAGCCACAGCGGAGCCGGCTCTAAACACCGAACACCGGTTCTTAGCTGACCCCACTTGGCTGCCCGGCAAGAACCAAGAACCACGCTCACGTCGGAAGGGGGCGAGATTAACCTGAGCCATAATAACAGTTTATGGCGAGTACGGAAAATGAAAGTTGTAACAAGCAGTAGCGCTGAGCAAAGTGACTAGAAGGCAACCACACACTTATAAACAAACACACTTTATAAAGTCAGGCAACACTAACCAGGCTTCATGTGATTCTGTTTATTTGTACCTTACTTTGACCATCCGTTCTCTGTCATTGATCATTGTGGAGAGCAGGCAGACGTTTTGTTTTGTATTATAGCAGCTATCAGATGGAATCAATACATGGGCTGTACAGGTTGTCATGTCCGACTATCACGTAGAATCATAATGAAAAGGTAAAATGTGCCTGTAGAAAACGGCTTATGCCACAATAGGATAGCAACAAGTAGTCAAGATAATCAGTTCAGCTTCGGTTGCTGTTGCATAACTGCGGTCAACTCAGCCGTCTCTCGCGTTCGCTTGGTCAAATCAGCAGCTATTCATTTTTGAGTGCGCAATTAATAGCGCCTTTACGGTAATTGCTGTACAAGAGTAAAATAATGCATGTTTTTTTCTGCTTTATTTGCAATACAAGTCATTTGTACCATAAGTTCTTAATAAAACTGACACTGTTTGACTCAGTCCTAGTTTGACTGCTACAATAAAATGAAGTAGGCTACTTTTACTGTGTACTTTTTGGGTGATACTCTCTCAAAGTCCCCTCCTGAGAACAAACTCATGCCACTTCTGCTATATTTGATGAGATAAAATGATTTGTATCCATAAGTTCTTAATAAAATTGGCAGTGTTGGACTCAGTACTTGTTAGACTACTACCACAAATACAATGAAGTGGCCTACTTTTATTGTGTACTTGTTGAGTAATACTCTGTCAAACTCCCTTCCAGAGTACAATCATGCATGTTTTTAGCTATCTTTGATGAGAGATAAAATGATATTTTGCCATAAGTTCTTAATACAATTGGGACTGTTGGACTCAGTACTACTTGGACTACTCCCACAAGTACAATAAAGTATTTTTACTGTGCACTTCTTGAGTAAACCTTTGTCAAACTCCCCTCCTGAGTACAATAATTAATGTATGTATTAATGCTAGTGGATCGCCGGAGCTGTATTGGATTAACATTAACATGCTTATTGTAGTTGTAAATGCACTGCCTTGCGGCCTGTAGCACCATATGTGTGGGCTGGACCTGTATGTCCAGGAAAGGAGTGAGCAGAGGGTAGAATTGTCGATTCTTGTTCTGTTTGCTGTGACTATCTTCCTCACCCTCTCAGACTTTCAGTTGCGCGCGCTACGCTACCATGGAAACCAAACAATGGTGTAGCTGGAAACAGTCCTGAGTAAATCTGATTTTGTCAGAAATCGGGAGAAATATGACCCCGGGAGGAAACCGGGAGAGGGCAATGAAATCGGGAGTCTCCCGCGAAAATCGGGAGGGTTGGCAAGTATGATTCCATCTGATAGCTGCTATAATACAAAACAAAACTTCTGCCTGCTCTCCACAATGATCAATGACAGCGAACGGATGGTCAAAGTAAGATACAAATAAACAGAATCACACGAAGCCTGGTTAGTGTTGCCTGACTTTATAAGCGTGTTTGTTTATAAGTGTGTGGTTGCCTTCTAGTCACTTTGCTCAGCGCTACTGCTTGTTACAACTTTCATTTTCCGTACTCGCCATACACTGTTATTATGGCTCAGGTTAATCTCGCCCCCTTCCGACGTGCCCCGTTCATTTGCATATAAGAAATGGAAATGTGTCATTATGAAATACAAGTCCCCTGAAATAAATAAATGTCTCATTATGAAATACAAGTCCCCTGAAATAAATAAATGTCTCATTATGAAATACAAGTCCCCTGAAATAAATAAATGTGTCATTATGAAATACAAGTCCCCTGAAATAAATAAATGTCTCATTATGAAATACAAGTCCCCTGAAATAAATAAATGTCTCATTATGAAATACAAGTCCCCTGAAATAAATAAATGTGTCATTATGAAATAAAAGTCTCTTGAAATAAATAAATGTGTCATTATGAAATAAAAGTCCCATGAAATAAATAAATGTGTATTTAAATGTACATGTATACATATTTATTGCCTCATTTATTTATTTCAGAATGTATTTCATAGGCATATTTATATATATATGTATTTATTTAATTATTTATGTATTTATTTATTTATTTAATTTTGGCTTAAATGGCATTCCATACACCATAGCCTCGCAAGCATAAGAAAACAAAATGGACTGAGGGATAGAGAAAACAAAATTAAATAAAAACACTCTAATCCCTCGTCACAATAGACACACCTCCCGCGCTCGGGCACGAGCGTTGTTCAAGGAGTCCACAGAGCGGGGAGGAGGGAGGGAGAAGACGGGAGTCCGCAGCTCTCTCCCGGCAGATCAGACGAGCGCCGATCGGGGATGCAACGGGTCAAACGGCACCAAGTGTAACCGGTGTGGTTAAGCGGTCTCTGCGTTGTGTTGATATGGACGAGACCCGAGCCAGCGTAAAGTTGAGACGATCTGTTTAATGACTGACAGATAAAAACGATCAGTTTTACAACAGTTTCCCTCAGTGACTCCTCTCACGTGCAACGTTTACAAAAAAGGGCCGAGGAAACGGGAGGGACACCATAGCCTCGTCTCAATACCCCTCCTCGACTCCTCCTTTCCCTCACTCGCGTCCCTTCCTTGCGTCTTAGCTCCGCCTCCGTAAGATGCGAGCGAGAGACACGAGGAGGAGACGCGAGGACAGAGGAGTCCTCAGGTATTAATTGGGATGTCCTCGTTCACTCACACGTCACTCTTAAACGACGTCTGTTAATGATGACATGTGCACAGCTGTATCCCCTCTCATCGGGCTTAACTGAATAACCTTTAGAACCTTTAGAACCTTTAGAACCGGCCCATTTATTGTTAAATATATATTTAAATGATGAATCTGTCTCTTTTTAGTCAAGGAATTCAATGTATGATGGTTGGTCCTGCTTTTGTGTTCCGTTTTGGTGTAAAATGTACATTTCAATAAATTATAATTATAATAATGTGAAAGCCTTTACTCTGAACATGTGTGTCCTGTAGATCCCCACATTCACCACAAACCCACATTCAGGACTGTGCATTTTAAATAATTTAACTCCTGAATATCTTAACACAAAACAAAACAAATAATTTGTATTTATCAAGATCTAGACATTTATGAAATAGCTTTCTTAATAGCTATGTTTTAGTGGCGTTCAAGATCATTAAACATGACTTAAATTGTTAGTATAACCTTAAGAAATGAATTGCACATAATAATTCCCACGGAGCTGTGAGCACTTAGACATTTATGTGACGCTTTTCCACTCATTCTTCCAGTTCTCCGTTTTCCTGTGTTGAAAACGACAAGCAGGCAACACACTACCTTTCTCTCATTTAATGCCTTCTGTGTTTCAGATATGGAAACGTTTTGGATTACAGTCGACCCAATGGAAAGGAAGATGCGCCTTTAAACCTGAACAAGAGTTCAGCCTATCAGGAGCCTTCAAGAACCGCTTCTGCCAAACAACATTACCTGAGGCAGTCAAGATATTTACCTGGTAATATATATTTAAAGACTTCCCTCAAATAAACATCAACTGTGTCAACAAGTGCTTTACACCCAACTCGTTTCAGTTAGATTCAAAATAGCTCCTTTGCTTTGGTACCATTGTACTGTTAAAGTAATGCAGACCAAAGAATATTGTGACATTAAATATATGATTATTGCAGGATTTAAAAAAAACTACAATTCAATTCTGATTGAGATCTGTTAAGGAAGCAATCTTAAATGCAGTCTTTACAAATGTGCACAGTATATATCACTACAAAAGAGTTGGTAACCTTAAAAAGCATAAAGCTAGATTGGAATTTGTTTGTCTCTTTCTATTTATAATTCTTCTTGTAAAATGTGTGTGATAATCTCTTACTGTCTTTTTCAGGTATTAGCACAACAAAGAACGTAGCCATAAATGCCAGTAAAGACTTTGCAGGAAGCCATCTTTGGGGCAACAGCAGTATTCCATTTGGAGGGACTCTGCCGAGCAGAGGCGCTCACGGTAATGTCCCAGGACCTCCTGCACTTTACTGCATGGGAATCATTGCAACTTCACTAAGTTCTAATGAAATGATCTGTTTTTGTTTGTTGTAAATACCAGGTACCAATACAATCCCAGGGGGATACATGCCATCGTTTTACAAAAAGACACGGGATCTGCGGGTCACAGAGGACCTCAGGGTCCTTCAGTGGAATCAACAGCATCAAGTGAGGACACATTTCATCACTTAGAGCTTTCTGCTATAGAGTGCTGCAGGAATGAGTCCTAAAACCCATCTAAGACCCGTCTTAACAAAGGTTCACAAGTGGCGTAATAAGACTACATCGATTTTCAGGGACAATTAAACGCAATCACACCAAACTTGGGAAACTCATGTTCTCGCTAGCCTGCGTTTACAGCCAGGTTATTCGTATACTCTCAAATATTGTAACTCACAAGCTAGATCAAGCTTTGGTAAAAGAGGCGAGCTCTAAAAATCAATGAAGTTGGAAGCGTAGTAGTGATGTTGGCAGTCATGCGATCGGGGTGTAGTTTGTTTATAGGTTTGAGATTTTCATTAAGATGATCTTCTTGTTGAACAAAGTAAGTAAGTAACCTTTCCTTGCCCCAGACATATTTTCTGATTTAAAACAAAAATGGAAAAAAAAATCCCTTTGGCTTTTTTGTGATGCTTCCAGTTTGGCCTACACAACATCATCCCTGCAGCCCTTTACATTCAGCTTTCTTTGTGTCACGTTTTCAGTGCCCTGCCACCTAACATTGCCTTTTTTTTACATTTGATTTAACCTGTTGTTTTGATGCCGTTTTAGATTATGCAACATGGCAGTCTGGCCGGAGTCCGATGAACACCTCCACCAACGTGCCGTCACCCAACAAGAGCACCCCCGGTCTGCTGCCTCGCCCACCGACACAAACCATCCACGGGCGAACGGATTGGTCTGCCAAATATGGACACCGCTAGTGCCCTCACTTCAAACTCTTTCACCTCCAAAGAGTAGGCCTAGTTGTTTTATAATATAAGTCTGTACATACATCTTACACAGCAATAACTTTTAATGTTTTTCATTATGTGTACTATGAATGTTGTGAGATGTAAAAATATCTATATGTATATTTAAATGCAAGCGGCCAAAGTTTGGGCCCAGATTTGCTCCTCAGTGTTTCATTTTGTATTTCTGTATTAAAGCTACAGAGGTCACAACTTCAGTTGTGTATCAGATGTATCATTGAATGTTCACCAACCTGTATACATAATATGCATATTATAATTGTATGGAAACTTCACTGTGACCTGTATTTGGCTGCAACTAATTACTTTGCCTTTGTACAGTTTGGTGTGTTTTCCTTTTTCCCTGCTGTTTTTTTATGACGGTAGCCTTGTCAATCAGGTTACTATTATTTGTGCATTATATGTTTTTAATAAAATGTAATGCCTTGCTCTATTTTCAATTAAACAATGCAAATGGTTGCCACAATGTACAATTCAGTTTTATTTCTGAATTAAAATGATCCAAGACAACACGTTATACCCCCTTGGCCAAAGTGAGTGTGATTATTGAATTGCCTGTTATTGAATATAATTAAACTGTTGACTGGGAACCCATATGTCCAACTTGTGCATTTTTTCACGGTACCATGAAAGTGAATGTTTTTATTTAATTAATTAATATGTTGTACTAGATGACATATCTGGCCATTTTCCATGTCCAGCTGCTGAGCATTCCAGCCCGGGTATATTCTGGCCCGCTGTATTAATCTGATGGAGATTAACCCCTCAGAAGTAGTTTACTGTTAATGCTATACTTGCATGAATGCATTGCTTCTGGTCTTCTATCGTGGGCACATCATGTAATGAATTGTATCTATCCATACTTTGGTACATAGTGTGATTGAAAGAAGGATGTTGCAATTGAATCAACTAGCAATGCATGAGGCCCTTTATGGATAACCTCGCTGCATTTGTCCTGAAGATGATGCTGGTATAAGTACATAACCCAATAATATGGTGTCAAATAAACGGTGCTGGAGATGGAAGAGGTGTGGGACATGAGGTCAAATGCTGAGATGGTACTCAGATTTTTTACTTAACTAAAAGTAGCAATACACATTTGTATCAGTACTTTGTTACAAATAAAAGCCTCAATTCAAAATCTTACTTGAGTAAAAGTACAAAAGTATCGGCATCAAAATATACTTAAAGAACCAAAAGTAGAAGTACTCCTTATCCGTAATAGCCCATTTCAGAATCATATTGAGTAACTGGGTTACTGTTATGAATATGAATGTGTTTTTATCACAGCTGGTAGATGTAGAGCTAAATGTTAAAACTGTATATATATATAAAATAATCTAAATCTCAAAAGTAACTATTAACTAAAAGCTGTCAAATAAATGTAGTGGGGTATAAATATAAAGCATAAACGGAGAATACTCAGTAAAGTACAAGCACCTCAAACTTGTACTTAACTACCGTACTTTGTTACTATCCACTCAAATGTAATTAAAAGTCATAGTAGAATATGTCCCAACAATTGTCATAATAAAGTCATTTAAAATGTAGCATAATATCAAAACAAAATGTCGTGTCATACATTTGAATCTATAAAAGTACATTATGTTTGTATTAACTGAACAGAAGAATAAATTGCAAATTTAAAAAAATTGAAAAAGTAAGGCAGACTGCCACGTGCACCGCCTCATTTGGATGTGTCTGACGCTTGGAGCTTAACTTCCCTACGTTTCTCCTACAAATGGGCCTTGAGCTTGTTTGGAGGTTCTAGCAGGGGAGCGCAGCTACTGGTACACCGAAGGATGGTCATCATCCGCCGGGGGAACCGTCCTCTTCCACCGAGCGCGGGGCTTCGGGAGGGACACACATGGAGCGATGAGGGAGGAGAAGGGGACACCCGCCTAGCCAGCCAGATCAGCCGAATAAACCCTAGCGATCAATGGGGTGACAGATGTCGCAGCCAGATCGCCCTCACATCCATATAGGAAATGGGGGGCGTGGTGTATATATAAGGGAGTAAAACACAACCGATTACTGTCACGGTGTGGAATATCGACAAAAGTGTTTATAGTTGGTATAATAGTTCGCCTTATCTCCCCATTCATGTTTATTAACTTAAAATGTACAAATACTTCAAAGTTGACGAAAATAGTCAGTAAAAGACGAGCAGTTCATATTTTTCCCATGATGTCTAGCGCCAACATGTAAATGGCCCGCGTTTTCATTGGCTCGAATCAACCAATGAAACGTCTTCAAATTTCGTTCCCACCTTAATCTTTTTTTGATTCAGCTACTTCATTATACAACGACCGATCTTAACTTGTGTTGCTCACATTTCTCCACGACAGGGCTGAGGGTGCACAGGTATGATTCAAGACCTATATACAGTCTATGTTCAAGACATTAAAACGAATTTTGGGTATCATTTTCCGGGCGTATTTGTATTTTGTATTATTAATGTGTGATACTAATTGTGTGGTTTAGAGATTAATCGATCCACTTCCGAAATACTATCGCCATGGCTGGGAAAGTTGTACTTCACTATTTCAATGGGAGAGGAAAAATGGAGTCAATCCGCTGGCTCTTGACTGTTGCAGAAGTGGAAGTAAGTAAAGGGTGTGTGGTGATATTAACATGAGAATATTATTGATTTTAAGGAACTTCAAACCTAAATATGTCATGTGATCTCTGTTTACAGTTTGATGAGGTGTTTTTGACAACTCGGGAGCAGTATCTTAAACTCCTGAGTGGTAAGTGTGTTTCCAAAATGTTGTTCAAAGTTCAAATAAACCTCCCGATTCTCTCTGGCCAATTTCCAAGTCACACATTTGAATTTACAATGAGTTTATCATGTGACTTTGACCCACTTGTGATGTAACCTGGGGTGAGCTTATCTTTGTTAAGGTGAATGATTCGAATGTTTTATGACCTGTTGACAAAGCTATTATCTACAATATAGATTGATGTTTTACCACACGGGTGTGCCGCTGCTGTGTTTCTTTTGCAGATGGAGACCTCATGTTTCAACAGGTTCCATTTGTGGAAATGGATGGCATGAAGCTTGTTCAGACAAAGGCAATCTTAAACTACATTGCAGAGAAGCACAACCTTCATGGAAAAGATCTCAAAGACAAACTCATGTAGGGTCCATTCTTTAGAAGAGTCATTACAAGAGTCTTCTTTTACATGTGATTTTAGTTGATGAAGGTGTCAATGCTTTCCCTCAGGGTCAACACCCACTCAGAGGGATTGATGGATCTCATGGAAATGATCATGACTTTGCCCTTCGCCGCAGATGTCAAAACAAAACTGGACAACATTCAAAATAAAGCAAAAGACCGCTACCTTCCTGTGTTTGAAAAGGTACCACCATGCTTACTTTAAATAAGTGTGATCAAATAACAGTTCAAGCTTGGTTAAAACATTTAAAATTGGAAAATGTATCTGTTAATTTGTATAATATATGAAAACTAAAGTATGCGTTGTGTACATCTCAGGCTTTGAGTGGGCCCATATACCTGGTTGGAGGTAGACTGAGCTGTGCAGATGTGCAGCTGCTCGAATGCACCCTGATGTTGGAGGAGAAATTTGCTGGCATCCTTGCAGAATTCCCCAACCTCAAGGTAAATTTGAAAAAGAAACACACTTTATAATACTGCAGGTCCTTCCTTCCTGCAGCGGTCAGGTCTAACACACAACAAAGACTATAACACCCCATTTGTGCAAAACGACTTATGTGCAATTAATATACCATAAATAACCGTGCAATATATACTTCCACCTGGCTGCTATCTCAAAACTATACTGGTACTGGATGTGTATTTTGTAAATTGTGTAATTTCTACTTTTATTTTAAATATTTGTATGCATGCTTCCTAATTATATTAAGCTATCTTTACTTACTGTAACAATGTACATTTCCTCCTCTGTGGGACGAATATAGGTATTCTGATTCTGAAGACTGAATTTAAGTAGAGAAACAACAACAAATCTTAACTAAGAAATCCCAGTAAGTTGATCATTATTATAACAACAATGCACTGATTGCTTTTTCTTTGATTCCTCCAGTCTTTCCGGGGCAGGATGACCAGAATTCCCGCCGTCAGCAGGTTCCTGCAGTCCGGCAGCAAGAGGAAGCCGCAGCCAGACGATGTATACGTGAAAACCATCATGGAGGTTTTCGACATCAAATCCCCGTTTCTGTGAACTCTGTCCTCCTCTCACAGGCAGGGTGAATGATTGATAATGCAAGGACAGCATTTTGTCCACGAGGATCGACTATATTTCAATACTTCACTAACCATCACGAACGTTAGCATTAGCTTGACTGGAATCTATGTAGTTTGCACTGAATAAATATTTGACAAACATTTAATGGCTGCTGTGTTTCTTTGTTCCGTGTTCATTCAATGACAGGATTTGTATAATATCCACAGTTTACATAAAAAAACGTCATTATTTTAGGATTTGTTTATTTTGTTTTTCCATGAATACAAAAATCACTAACTTATTGACAGTAAATATCATTTGAAGTTAAAGACATAGCATGTCTTCAAGAATACATATTTTGGCGTCCCTTTTTCTGTAATTTAAAACCATGATAGTATTAGCAGCCAGCAACACCGAAGTTGTAGTGAATAGTTAGCCCCCTGCCAACATAAGCTCATGTACATCTGCTAATCTTAGAGCATGACATTTACATTCATGCACATATAACACAAGAAAAAGCAGTTATTTATATAAGATCACCAAAGCAGACTTACTGCACTAATATACAGTATGTTGTTAATCTTAAATCTGGTGACTTTTTTCTGGTCACATGTTAGTTAAGTAATGATACCAAACAAAAGGCTTGTTTTAGTATGCTGGGAATGCTGTTCATTCAAACAAGGCTGGTCCATTGATAGAGAGAGAGTCAGTCCAGTTATTCCTCCTGTCACATCATGAGGGATAGTAACAGCCGAAACACCATCAACAAACTGTAAGAAAGAGACAGCAAATCAAAAAGTAATACATCATTGTCTGATATTTTTATAATGTTTTTACAATATAATAGTAATATTATATAAATAGAAAGAATATATATATATAAATTGTGCAATACCTAGTCCTGGTTATATACATTTACATTCATTAATTAACTTGTTGTCATGTTTATCAAGTTTGAATCACACCTTAGCCCTGACATGATGCCAGCAGGCAATAGTTTCCCAGATTTCTTGTATCTCATTCCCATCAGGACCGAAAGGGCTCCAGCAGTTACTGAAAGTAAGAAAACACCATGAACTAAATTCAATACTCTGATTTATATTTGTATTTATTTGGGACATGCTCAGCTGTACTCACGCAAAGAGACCTTGATGTCCTTTGGGTCATAAGAGATGTTGAATGCACCATAAGCAGAAAACCCACCAAAAACTAAACCGGCCATCAGGGACATCACGCTGCCTACAATCACACGGAGACACACAATGATTATCAGGGCTCATTTTTTACCTGACACATATTTTTCGTAAAGATTTCTGCCAAAATGAAAAGGGTTTAACCTTTTCTCGAGTAACCCATATATCCTCCATAGGCGATGGC